CATCCATCATCATCATCATCATCATCATCATCATCATCATCATCATCATCAGCATCATCAATGTCACGTCAGGCACGCGGGAAGATTGGTGGGACGATCGGAGGGACGATCTGCGAGCCGGGCGACCAACTGGCCTGTGAAGAGACCTACCACGAGATCAGCTCCATGATTGGTCGCATGATCCAATGCGTCATGAGAGGAGGCGAGGAGGGAGGAGAGGAGGGAGGAGAGGAGGGAGGAGAGGAGGGAAGTTAGAAGAACCCGAAGGACGTAAGAGGTGAGAGGTTTGAGGCAAGAGATGAGACACTCAGCTGAGTGAGGAGAGGAACAATGTCAACCTCGAGTACGAGGGGTGTGAGGGTTTTCGCGCATGCTTCCTGCACTTTCCTCCCGACCTGCACTGAGCCCACGAAGATGATCTGGAGGGAGAAGAAGAGTCAGCGAGATAGGAAGGGGAGCAGAGAAGGCAAGAGGACAAGGACAAGGGCAGGAGGCTGGAGGACAAGGGCAGGAGGCTGGACGCAGGACGCAGGCTTTCCTTGTCGGCTCCTCCGGTGATGAGAGCTTCTCCTGCCTCTCCATATCCCGTGACGATCTGAACAAGATTGCGCGGAGCCCCTGCAAGTGACGCGGAACCAGGGTGAGGGTGAGCTGAGAAGTTGACGAAGGCGACAAGGAGAGGTGGAGGGGAGGGATGCGAGGAGGCAGAAGGAAAAGGCAGGAGCGGGAGGAGAGAGAGAGGGGGGGAGGAGGAAGGAGGTTGGGGCTGACCGGCAGCTTGTAGGCAGAGGTCGATCAATCTGCCGTAGAACTTGGTGGACCAGGAGGCGTACTCAGACGTCTTGATGACGATGGCGTTGCCCGCGAAGAGAGCGGCGGTGAGAGGGTTGAAGACGTTGTGGAAGGGATAGTTCCAGGGAACTATCGCCCCCACCACTCCCACAGGATGAAACTCAACGCGAGAGGTCTTGTGAAGGTTTAACAGCCCGCTCTCCCTCTTCTCCGGCTTTAGCCATCTCTCCCCGCTCTTCTCCAGCCATCGCAACTTCTCGCAGGTCGTCAGCACCTCTCCCAGCATCGCGTCCACCTTCGTCTTCCCGGAGTCTCGGCAGGCGACGCGCACGATGGCGTCCATGTTGTCCGTCAGGCATCGCAGCATCGTCCGCATCAGGTGCCTCCTCTCCTCCCATGTCGACTTCCTCCATGCCCCCTGCGCCTCTCGCGCCGCCTGTATCGCCTCATGCACGCGGGCTGGTGTGAAGGCCTCAACCACCCCGAGGTCATCCATGGTGCAGGGGTCCCAGCACTGGATCCTTCCTGCCCCTCCGTCCCGAGGATTTGCTGTGCGCGGATCTAGCTTTCTCCGACCGTGAAGGACGTCCGTCTTCTCTGCGTCATCCTCGAGAGGAACCTCGACCTTGGGCACGGGACGCTGAAGGAGAAGCTTGAGGAGGAAGTAGACGATGAAGCACGCAGCCTGCACAAGTGACATCAACTTCCCATCCTCGCCTTGTGGCCCTCAACTTGCCATCTTCCTTTCTCCCCTCCAGGCCTCCTCCTCCTTCCTTCTCCTCCTCCTCCTCCTCCTCCTCCTCCTCCTCCTCCTCCTCCTCCTCCTCCTCCTCCTCCTGATTTTCATCATATCCATTATAATCGTCGTCGTCGTCGTGACCGTCATCATCATCCCCTTCTTTCCACAAGTCCTAAACTTGTCTCGTTGCGCACGAACCTGGGCAGGCATGGCAAGGAAGGGTCCTCCATGGAAGACAAACCTGTCCTCCACGACCGACTGAAACGAAGTAAACCATGGCACGAGGAGCAGGAGCAGGTGGAGGAGGAGCAGGTGGAGGAGGAGCAGGTCGAGCAGGAGCAGGTCGAGCAGGAGCAGGTCGAGCAGGAGCAGGTGGAGTAGAGGAGGTCAGATACCTTGATGTGACAGAGACCTCGGAGTCCCTCGGGTCCAGCAAAACGGTCGTAACCGCTGCTCTTGCATCCTCGTGGAGGAGGAGGAGCAGGAGCAGGAGGAGGAGCAGGAGGAGGAGGAGGAGCAGGAGGAGGAGGAGGAGGAGGAGGAGGAGCAGCAGCAGCAGCAGCAGCAGTTCGGATTGGCTGTCTGCTCTGCCCCCAATACCTGTGAGAGGTAGGTGGTGCCCTCGAGGTCGTTGACAGATCCCATGCCCTGCCCAACGTCACTCCAGCCGGGAGCAAGAGGAGGAGCATACCGCCTGCATGGAGGAAACAAGCTTAGACGCTCGTTGCTTGCTCCCTGAGAAGGCGCAAGAGCTGAAGTTGTGATAATGACCACAAGGAGCAACAGGAGAAACTCTAGTCCTGACCTGAGGGCAAACTCGCAGTTGTTGGCAATGCGAATGGCCTGACGGCATGTCAGTTGATGCACAAGGACAAGGACAAGGACAAGGACAAGGACAAGGACGAGGACGAGGACAAGGACGAGGACGAGGACAAGGACAAGGACGAGGACAAGGACGAGGACGAAAGCAGCAGCTACTGACCTCTTGGTCAGAATTGTTCTTGATTTTGACGATGCACATGATGGGGCCAAAGATCTCTTCCTTCATGATCTTCATGTCCTGAACAAAGACGACGAGAAGTCAACCACCACCGCCAACACCATCTCCATCTCCATTGTCATCATCTCCATCATCATCTCCACCATCATCTCCATCATCATCTCCATCATCTCCATCATCATCATCATCATCGTCATTGTCATCATCATCATCATCATCATCATCATCATCATCATCATCATCATCATCATCATCATCATCATCATCATCATCATCATCATCATCATCATCATCATCATCATCATCATCATCATCAGCGTCATCATCATGTGTCACCTCAGTCACGTCGCTGAGAATGGTTGGCGGATAGAACTGACCCTCAGCGAGCCGGGAGGGCTTTTTAGGGATGAAACCTCCCGCCACGAGCTTAGCTCCATGCTTGACCGCATCATCCACGAGGTCCTGAGATATGGGAGGAGAACGTGAGAGGAGGAGGAGGAGGAGGAGGAGGAGGAGGAGGAGGAGGGAGAAGAGGCAGCAGGGAGAGAAAGAGGCATCAACAGGAGGGGAAGGAGGAGCAGGAGGTCCACGAGGAGGGGCAGGAGACCTGCAGATGCTTCAAGTGGGAAGGCAGTCGAACGGCTCCACAGTCGACAAAGTCCGACGACAAGGTTGGGCCCTGAGGATCGAATGAGCAGCGAGGAAGAGGACGAGAAATGGGGAGTGAGAGGAAGAGGGAGAGGGAGAGGGAGAGGGAGAGAGAGAGGGAGAGAGAGAGAGAGAGAGAGAGAGAGAGGAGGAGGCGGAGACGGA